GCAATTCAGTCGGGAAGACATAATCACAGGTTAAATACTGTAAGTTCATATGTGAGTAAAGGCAGGTGAGCGAATACTTTTGGCAATATAGTGTACATATTTTTCTCCACTGAAAGAGGACAAGAATCATGATCAGCAGGAGTCAGCAACATCGTGATGGCACATAATCCGTTCCTAAAAAATATGAGCATTGGCTACTCTCCATTTAAAGGGGACAAGAATCATAGTAAACATAGGGGAAATGCTGTATAGAGATCAGGATCTAATAAGAAGGAGAACGCTCTCCAAGTTCTCTATACTGGTCCTTTCACAACCTCAGCAACTTTAAGATGTGGGACTTCCACTTGCTGGCTGGGGAATTCTGGCAGTTGAAGTCCGCACATTTTCATGTTGCTAAGATTGAAAGCATTGATCCATCATTAGGAAGACCAACAGACAGTAAAGGTTGGAAGCCACCTTGTCTCTCATCTAGTGAGACTGAAAGTTAATTGCAAAAGAAAAATACAAAACTGGATGTGGGAGCAGCAAAAGAACAGCTGACCTTCTCACAGTCTGAATTTTACTGGAAGGTTGGAAAAGCCTTAACCTAATGTTTCTCAACCTTGGCAACTTGGAGATATATGGACTTTAGCTCCCAGAACTCCCCTGGCAGCATGCTGGGAATTCTGGAAGTTGAAGTCCACATATCTTCAAAGCTTCCAAGGTTGGGAAGCACCGGCTTAATTTGTCCTTCCAGGCTGGACCATCTGCCCTGAGGAAGACTCATCCCTGTCTCCAAGCCACATATCCTATCATCCCCATATCTAGGGGCTCCCCTGACACAACTGTTTTCACTTGCTCACCGTTTCTCATGATCCAAATCACAGCAACACACAGCGATAGGAAAGAAGCTGGGAGGACAATTGGGAGGACAGTAGCGATCCAGGAAGCCTCGCACATTCAGGCCAAAATCCAAGGTTCGAGGCAGGTAATCAGGGTCAGCGCTGACTCTTCCAATAATCTGTGCAAAATAAAAAAAGGAGTTGTTAGAAGTTTCTCTGGAGTGATGTAGGCTTGGTTAACAATCTAGAACAGGAATGGTTAACCTTTTCGGCATCGAGTGCCAAAACTGGAGCACGCGTGCGTGCCGGAGGTCCTGAACCCGGAAGAGAGCAGCTGGCCATATGCACTGGCCAGCTGCTCTCTTCCGAGTTCTAGTGCTCCGGCACGCTGGCCCTCTGCTCTTCACACATGTGCGTGCCGGAAGATGGAATAGAGCAGCTAACCACAGCATGAGTACTGGACCAGCTGTCCAGCGTGCATGTGCGTGACGGAACCTGGAAGAACAGCTGGCGATGGTGTGCATGCCCACAGAGAGGACTCTGTGTTCCACAACTGGCACGCGTGCCATAGGTTTGCCATCCTGGATTTAGAACAAGTGATGGTCCTTTGGAGATAAACTGAGCCACTTAGAAGAGCTAAGTAGAATATTGGTTGGCCCATGCCAGATGCCTCCAGGGCTTTTCGGGAGTCCATGTATAGCATTTGTATGTTTCCTTTCAATATCTCTGATAGAAATACTGCTATTGCTATATGCAGAAATATGCCTGAGTAATCCTTACAATAATGCTAACTTTATGAGGTTAGTATTCTCACATTACATATAGGAAACTAAGGGGTGGTTGGGTATAAGGGGTGGTCCTCAGCTTACAACAGTTCACTTAGTGACCGTTCAAAATTACAATGACACTGAGAAAAGTGACCTATGACCATTTTTCACACTTATGACAGATGCAGCATCCCCAGGGCCATGTGATCAAAATTCAGAAGCTTGGCAACTGACTCGTGTTTATGACAGCTGCAGTGTGCGATCACCTTTTGTGACTTCCTTAGAAGCCAAGTCAATGGGGAATCCAGATTCACTTAACAATTGTCTTATTAACTTAACACCTGCAGTAATTCCACTTAACAACTGCGGCAAGAAAAGTCATAAAAGCGGGCAAATACACTTAACAAATGTTTCCCTTAGCAACAGAAATGTTGGGCTCTATTATGGTCACAAGTTGAGGACTACCTGTACTTCTCTGCAGAAACTATATAGAGGAAAATTGCACTTGGGTGTATTAGGAGTCTGGTAATTTCCATGTCATTTCCTTTTCCAACTAACAAAATATATTGAAAGGCATAAACTTTCATAAATTGCAGCTCACATCACCTATCAAATATTAGTGTCTTTTATGATGTGAGTGGTTATTACACAATGTCATCCCAACTCACACTGTACAACTGAACTGCCAGCATACTTTCAACTTACCCCTATTTGCTTAGCAACCATTCAAAGTTACATTGGCACTGTGAAAAATGTGGTTTATACATGGTTCTTGCATATTCAACCATTGCAGTCCCATGTTCAAAATTTAGGTTTTGGGAAGCAACTGCTTTCACCACAGTTAATTGTGATGGTGAAACTATGGCACACGTGCCAGAAGTGGCACGCAGAATATCTCTCCGGGCACATGAGCCATTACCCATTGCTCTTCTGGGTTCCGATGCACCAGCCAGCTGGTCTTCACATGCACAACAGTGCCAGAAATTGGAAAAGCAGCCACCCAGTGCGCATGCTCGTGCTGGGTGGCTGCTCTTCTGGTTTCCAGAGTGTGCATGCGCACTGGCAACCTGGTCTTCCAGTTTGTGGCATGCATGTGCGCACGAAGATCAGCTGGTCAGTGCACATGTCGGAAACTGGGACATCATCTTCCCGGTATGCACATGGGCTCTGGCCAGCTGGTCTTTGCATGCGCATGCATGCCAGAAACCAGAAGACCAGGTGGACAGTGGCATGCACGCGCCAGCTGCTGTTCCGGTTTCCGGCACGTGTGCATGTTCTCCCATTTCAGCACTCAGTGCCGAAAACACTCGCCAACTTTGCATTAACCCTTAATTAAAGCAGGTAAAACATCCAGATGACCCTTAGGTGGCAGTTCTAAAATGTCCTTAAATGTTCTGCATCTCTCTGCTGCCATCTTGTGATTGTCTAAATTAGTGTTTCTCCAACTTAGCCACTTTAAAAATGTGTGGATTTCAACTCTCAGGGGAATTCTGGGAATTGAAGTCCACACATCTTGAAGTATCTAAGGATGAGAGACACTGGCCTGGATTCTTACAACTCAGATGTGGTACCCCTGAGTCATATACCACACCTGGTCTTGATCATAACCAAGACTCTCCTATTTTTTTTCCTATTGAGAACCACATCACTTTTGGTGTAATTTACCAGAGACGCATGCAGATCAAAACTTTGATTGTATAAGTAATAACAGCAGCTAGAATTATATTTGCACAAAATTGGAAAGCAGCAGACAAAATCCCATCGGAAGGGGAGGTAATAAAGAAGATATTAGATTGTGCAGAAATGAACAGGTTGACATTGAGAATAAAGGACAAAGAGGAATCAGTATACTACAGGACATTTACAGGGCGATTTTATGATTGGCTTGAAAAAAGATACAAATAGAAAGAGAAAGAAACAAAGCACAAAATAAATAACTCAGATGACACATTATTAAATCAGGGGGAGGGGAAATAAGAAAGTATGAAAATGTAAATATACAGGCAGAAAAATGATATGAATTGACAAATGTTAAATAGCAATTATAAGAATGTATATTTACGAATGAATTTGAAAGGAAAAATAAAAATCTTTTTTACACAAAAAACCTCAAAACTGGAGAAACAAAACCATCCCTGTCCCTTCTTTTTTGCCATTCCATTTTTTTTGCTCTTGCTTCTCAAAATGAGGTTAAGTTCAACAACTCTTCCTTTAAAGCATGAAAGAACAAGGTTAGGAAATGCTGGCTTCAGGCATCTGCCAGAACCGCTCTCTGGAAATGTTCCTTTAGAACATTTCTCTAGCAAACCTTCCTTCTTCCTCCTTGAATGCTTTATGTTCCTGGGACTTGCCTCACAAAGGATGATGCCAAAAGAGAAGACGTCTACTTTCTCATCATAACTTCTCCCTGCAAAAAGATGACAAGAGACGAAAAAACATATTTAGCTATCAGGCCCAGACATCCTAACCGGGGTGTATAATTGTTTGGAGTTGGTAATAATAATAATAATAATTTATTAGTCAGTGCACATCTTATGTACAATGAGATTAGTTGAGCTCCCTCAGTGCACTCCCCACAACACAATAAAACTCACAGTGAAGACAGAAAATCCCTAACCCAATAAATCACATTAACAAACACCCAGTCCTATTGTACCAGTGTGAACATGTTACACGTTGCGCCGGCCTACAAGTCCATCGTACTACGTAGTTATGATGTTATTTTGAATTCAGGAGTCAACGGCACACGGATAAAAAATATTCTTCAGCCTGTTTATGCAGCTGGCTCTGCTTCTATATCTCTTTCCCGATGGTAGGAGCAGTGGTGGGATTAAAATACCGTATTTTTCGGAGTATAAGATGCACTTCCCCCCCCCAAAAGAGGGGGGAAATCTAAGTGTGTCTTATACACTGAATACAGCATTTTGGGCCTCCTGAAACTCCACCCTCTTCCCAAAAATGGACGTGCAGTGGGTTTGGGAGGCCTGCAAAGTTCTCCTGGGGGCTGGGGAGGGCAAAAATGAGCAAAAAACAGACTGGGGTTTTTTTGCTCATTTTTGCTCCCCCCCTGCCCCCAGGAGCACTCTACAAGCCTCCTAAAGGCTATGCATGCCCCTTTTGGGTGAAAAATGGGCCCTGTTTTTTGCTTGTTTCCCCCCATCCCCACCCCCAGGAGCACTTTGCAGGCTTCTCAAACTCTCTGCATGCCCAGTTTTTCACAATGCTTTGGGAGGTCTGCAAAGTGCAAAACCTTTTTTTAAATTTACCTCTTCAAAATCTTGGTGTGTCTTATACTCTGGTGTGTATTGTACCTCCGAAAAATATGGTAATTTAGCAACCGGTTGTCTGCTCTAATGATTTCTTCCAACAACCAGTTCACCAAACTTCTCAGAAATTTAACCATCGGTTCTCCTGAAGTGGTACGAACTGGCTGAATCCCACCACTGGGTAGGAGGGTAAAGAAGTGCCGACCAGGGTGTGAGTTGTCCCTGAGGATTTTCCTCACTCTTCTAGTGAGTTCATCTAGAATTTGTAAAGCAGCTCATGGGCGCTCCCACAAAATGGCTTCCTTAAGGATCCATGAGCTCTCATGATAATCTGTCCCCAAATTTTATCTTAGTTTCAATCAGCCCAGAAAAATTCCTCTTGTTCCTCAAGGTTATTCCTTCTGCGCATTACAGAGATGGCTTCCTGGGCAGCTTCCCAAACCTGATCCTTCTTTCCCTTGTTGCTGACCACAATTAAGCCAGATCTGGTGAGGGTTTATACCAAGAATGGGGAATGAGGGCCCTTTTATGACTTGTGGACTTCAACTCCTAGAATTCCTGAGCCAGCATGGCTGGCTCAGGAATTCTGGGAGTTGAAGTCCCCAAGTCATAAAGGGTCCATCGTTCCCCAACTCTAGTCTATCCCTACCAGTGGTGGGTTCTGGCAGGTACGCCCTAGTAGGGGCGTACCGGTGCCTGCTGGGAGGCACAGGCACTGTTCTGGTACAGTGATACGGAGGGCCCACCCACCTGCCCACTCTCCCTACCTCTATTTGAGCCGACCGGGGCATTTGTGCATGCATCTAGCCGAGCAGCTGGAGCATCACAGGGTGATGATGCGCATGCATGCGCAGTGCTCTTGCACGTGATGGATGCCCGGCCCCATCGCAGCATGCCGATTGTGACAGGATCCGGAACCCACCACTTATCCCTACCCCAACTCCCCTGCTCAACTCACCATTGATCATCTCAGGAGCCATCCAGTAAGGGTTGCCCACCACGGTGTACCTTTTCCTTCGGTCAGGTTTCTTCAGGTTTGCTAGCTGGTTCTTCTCGTCCACCATCAACCGAGCAAGGCCAAAATCAGCCACTACCACACTTTTGTTCTGTGTAAAGAACAGAAAGAATCTTTCCCCTCCTTTCTTTCTAATTATCCAGTGGATTTAGCACTTTCAGTTTACAATGCTTTAACGCTGTTGGCAGACAAGACAGTATTTAAGAAAAGAGGAAATACTATTTTTGTTGTTCTCAATGTCACCTTCAAACGATGTGGCTTGTCTTTGAAACAAAACAAAAATCAGCCGAACCTGATTATTTTATATAGTATTTATGTTATAGAATGTTATTTGGAAATGGACTTATTTTATACTCAATTTATCAACTATTATTATTGCATTAAAAGTGTCACTCTAATTTTCACATTAGTTTTATTTTATTTTTTTCATGGATTGGGGGGTTTAATTCAACTGAAAAAAAAAACAAAATTCTTGTTATTCTTGTTACAGAACTAGTTAACAACTAATGTTTACTGATTATGTTATAATCTTTTATCAGATATTGGAGGGTTCCAGGCAGTGGTGGGTTCCTACTGGTTCGGCCCAGTTCAGTCAAACCGGTAGTGGAATGCCGGCCTGGGTCGCAGAACTGGCAGTGACCCAGGCTGGCCACGCCCCAAACCAGTTCCCCGATCACCGCCATTGCCACTGCCATCTTTTCTTTGAGCTCTGCGCATGCGCAGAACAATTCCCATTGAACTGCACATGCACGCATAACACACATCCAATGCATGCATGGTGCATAATGCACATCCACTGCATACATGCACGCACACGGACAAACCAGCAGTAACACTGGTTGAAACCCACCCCTGGTTCCACGATTGGGCTTAGCCTTTCTAATAAATATTTGTCTCCAGCCTCTCCACTGATGAAATAGGTAGTAGAATATCTACAGACTGCAATATCTGCAAAAGTGTCCATGTTGGTAGATGTCAGCATTTTTAAAAAAAATCTATTTTAAATCTTCATCCTGTCAAAATAGAAAATGGTTTTGTGGGACAGCAGCGCTGTAACACTAAAAATATCCACTCAGTGTACATAAAAGTCAAGAAAGTATTGTTGTCAGGGTTCCAAGTAACAAACCCAAAGGAATCAAAACTCTGAGGCCTAAAGTTTCCTCATAGTTTGAGGTGATAATTGTCACTTGCTATATTTGATACTTTCACATGGGTTGTTGTTGTTGTTTTGCATGCATACCAATCGCACTATTCTCTTTTGGAGTAAGCAAAATTGTGCAAAGCTCAGAAAAGGAATAGGACATAAGAAGCCAAACAGAATTTCAAAAATGAGATGAGAAAAAGACGGGAAATAAGTCTAATTTTTCTGCAACCACAACTCTCTCTCTGTCTTTGGAATCCTTTTGACTCCATTACTCCTTCTCTACTGTTTTAATTTTGCCATTCAATCCTTGTTCATTCTCTCTCTATGATTTTCCCCTTGAAATTCACTGTTGTATTCAATCCATAAGCATTCAGAGCACTTTTGTTTTTGTTTTTGTTTTACTGGTTCTCTATTCTCACTGTTTTCAACTTGTCTCCTTATATAGTCAGTTCTCATTTCCCCATAGTGAAATGAGAAGAAGTTCAAAGAGTTATTTTCGCTTCTTTTTTTCAAACATTAATTTCTTGAAACAGGCGTCTGTTTCTGTCATTACTTTCTAGTTTGCAGTGGCTCACTTTCTTTCTATCAGCACTGAATATTTAAAAATTTCTCCATCCATTGTTTGTAAACAGAAAAGACTGAATTCAGGTTATTATTTATAAAAACAAACAAAACTAGTCCCTGAGAATCTGAAGCCAAACAAAGAAAAATGACATCTGGAAATGTCACACAAAACCCTGTAAATGTTAACAATTGCTTTGTTTGCTAGACAATAATGTAATTATTAAAATGTATGGCATGTATTTTGCCTAATCCCTACCCCAATGATTTTTTTTAGATTTACTTATGAGGCAGGAGTTGCACAATTATTGTTTTAGGAGGCTGAAAGTATTGGTTCCCCTTGCATATGTGCTAGTTGTTCCCGACTCTAGGGGGCGGTGCTCATCTCCGTTTCAAAGCTGAAGAGCCAGCACTGTCCAAAGACGTCTCTGTGGTCATGTGGCCGACATGATTAAATGCCAAAGGATCAGGGAACGCTGTTACTTTCCCACCAAATGTGGTTCTTATTTTTCTACTTGCATTTTTTATGTGCTTTTGAACTGCTAGGTTGGCAGAAGCTGGGACAAGTAAACAGGAGCTCACTCCGTTACGTGGCGCTAGGGATTCGAACCACCGAACTGCCTACCTTTCTGATCAACAAGTTCAGCCTCTTAGCCACTGAGCCACCTATTAAATGTTATATATTTTCACAAATCAGAGATTGTTATATTCAAGACCTATAGTAATCCTCTTCTTTGTTTGTTGTTTTTAAGATGATGTCCTTAAAAATTACTCTTCATAACTTACCTTCTCAAAATATGACCAGCAATATCTTCTCCTTGCTTTTAAAATTATTTTTAGTTTTTAAAAATCAACAAACTTAGCAAACTGAATAATGCAAATAAAACTTAAATTAATGAATGAATTAAAAATTTGACCAGTGCCAACTTACTTCTCGCACAAGGCAGTTATGTGTATTGAGGTCCCTGTGAATGATATTCATAGAATGGAGATAAGCCTATGAAAAGAAATGAGAAAAAAGAGTTAGAAATTTTGTTATTCTTCCATAATTCCTTTCTTTTTAAAAAGGATATGGTTGACTTCACTTTATCCAGCATTGTGAGATGCTCTTAATATGTATAGTGTTCTAATTTTATAGGAAGCGGAGCTGTTATTTTTGAAATATAACTTGACTTATCGTAGCATATAGGTCAGAGGTCCCCAAACTCTGATATAGATAGTACTTGAGTTATAATCAGTCACTTAACAACCATTCAAAATTACAACAGATTTACTGTACTTATGATCCAGATGTGAAGTTCAAATGATCACATGACCAAACTTTAGATCCTTGGCAACATGGCCCTATTTATGGGCATTTACAGCTTCCCACAGTCACATGATTACATTTTCCTAAAGTTTTGCCGAAAACTGTACCCATAAGTCCACCATTGGTTTGCTTACCAATGTTAAGCGGCATTCGCTTAACAACCTCAGATTCATTTAATGACCAATGCAAACAAGTTTGTAAAATTAAGTTGGCCAAGTGACCGATCTGTTTTACGACAGGAAACATTGTGAGTGTATGTTTTTTTTAACTAAATCTATTTCACTCACCCTTGTTCATAAGCAAGTAAAAATAACCTAACTGAATCAGATTCAAAAAGTCTACACAATCTAGCATTGTGCTTACAAGCCCCATGGTAACTATGAATGTTGTGTATTTTAAATTGTTGTTTTGTCTATTTATCCCCTGCCCCTGTTTATTGTAAGCCGCCCGGAGTCCTTCGGGAGTGGGCGGCATACAAGACCAACTGAACTGAACTGAAGACTGGTCAGTAAGTTATTCTGGAAAGCTCACAAGTAGCATGCTTTGTTATTTTTACCAAGCCTATGTTGCCTCAACCTGGAGGCTTCATTTGGCGAGCAACTTTCATGAATTGCTCACATACTTTGAAAGGCTAGTGAATAAGACACAATGGGAAATTTTAACATGATTCCAGCAAAATGCTTTCCTGATGCCCCACAAAATTCCTGGCTCAGTTTGCTGCAAATTCATGCTCCTACTCACCATCCCTGAAGCGATGTCCTTTGCAAAACTGACCCGCTCGCTCCAAGGATACTGACTGTCCTGGAAGAAAAATGTTGCTGGTGAGTGAAGTATTTGGAAAAATTGGGGTGAACTCTGTCTGGAGCATCTCACCTCTACCAGGAGAGAGAGAGTAGCAGGAAAGAGACTTTGCATTCTCTTCACGACTAGGTTCACAAAACACACTCTAGCCTAGCTGGTTTTATTTATTAATTTAGCCTATGGCAAATACATGGATTTATAGTAGTTCAAATGTTAATGTCCACACCATCCAGCCAGTCAAGCACAGGGCGATCTACGTTGAAAAAAATCAGACATTGGGCGGGTGGTAACCATTTAGCTGGTTACTGAATTGATCATGTTTGCACAATACTCTAAATCAAAAACCTAATGGAGTATTATTAACTAAGCTGAGTAGATTGTACAAATGAATTGTAAGATTTTCGCTGTTAATTAAGAGGATTCAGTTCAGGTTCAAACCCGGGGAATAGTATAGTGACAATATTGGTCATGCTTGATGATGACCTCTGGTAGGACCAGGAGAGAGATGAGAGAGTGCAACCATCCCAATTCTACCTGATCCCTCAGTGGAGGAGTAGTTCTCTTCCTTTTTATACAGATGGGTCCAGTTGGTCTTGAGAGTGGAGAACGAACAGGCTTAGGCTTAAACCTGACAAGACCATATGAGTGGTTGTGAATATTTGGGCCTCCTGATTGTAGAGTGGTTCAGTCTTTGATCCTGAATAGGATTGCATTTCTCTTTGGGTTTGGTGGGCAACTTGATACTCTCTAGAATTCATGGTTTTTGCTCAAGCAGCAGTGTTTTAACATGCAGTGTCAATTTTGTCATGACATTAAGTCATAATATAGTTTGCTTGGCCACAACACGCTACATGAACACAGCTATTGCTGTGGTCTGCCAGTGGCCAGCAGAGCTGGCAGCATATTCAGACAGTGAAGAGGTTGGGGAGAAACGTGGGCCAGTCCTAGAGTGTGGGGAAGGCTTGGACGAGGGCTCTGCGTCGGAGGCAGAGAGGGGTCCAAGCCATCTGGTAGTTATTTGCTGCCTCCAGAGCCTCTGGAGTCTGATATCAGCGAGGCAGAAGAACAGTGGGAGCCTGTTCCCGGTGTGCACATGCGCAGAGCTGCCAAAAGGCAAGAACAATTAAGAAAACAGGTTTGATTTGGGAGTAAGGCTTGGAGATGATTGGCTCCTCCCATAAGACATAAAAGAGGAGGGAATGGGAGGTGACCTTTTGCAGGAAGAAATTAGTTCATCTGGTCAGTTCAAGCTTTGAAAAGTTCTGTTTGACTCTGTGGTAAGTTTGGTCTTGATCTGCATTTGGCAATTAGATCTCTGGCAAGCATTCCAAGGGAGATAAGGTGCGTGTTTGTCAACATTCTCCGGAAAGACTGTAGCAACTCAAGCAGACATCTGTTGGAACCTTCACAGACTGTTTGTGAAGCCTTGCAGACTGTTAATGACCATAATTTACAGCTGTATAAATAAAAGGTGTTTGGGACTAAGATTGTTGTTAGGTAAGCTCCTCGTTGGGAGAGCGAGTGCGTTCAGAGAAGCGTTGTGAGAGTTGTGTTGGAGAACACACAAACCAGCATACAGAGATATGGCAGTTTAAATAGGCTTTTAGTTTCGTGGAAATAGAGGTATCAGAGTCCATCAAACAGTCCAAGACATACACGGATAAGACAGTCAATCATCAACATCTTTCAGTTA